CGAAGCAGGCAGGGCGTGCCCTCACCGCTCGCCAGGGCTCCGGAGTGACTCGCTGCCACGGCCGCCACACCGTCCAGCACTGCGCAGCCGCCACAGACCCCAGAGCCCCGCTGTGAAGGCGTGAGGAGACACGTCAGGACGAGTGGCAGAGGGGTCTGCTGTCTTTGAAGAAGGATGTTTTCCTTTTGTGAACAATGAGAATCAGAATACGTGTGTGACACTGATTTTCTTCTTCCCTGTGAATGACTATATGGTTGCAAATTATTTTTTTCCTTAATCCATGAATTGAAGGTTATCACCTTATTTTAAACATAGTGCTTGAAGAAAATAACCCTCCAGTGGTTTTTTTTTGTTTTTTTGTTTTTTTGTTTTTTGAGACAGAGTCTCGCTTTGTTGCCCAGGCTGGAGTGAGTGCCGTGGCGTCAGCCTAGCTCACAGCAACCTCAAACTCCTGGGCTCAAGCAATCCTGCTGCCTCAGCCTCCCAAGTAGCTGGGACTACAGGCATGTGCCACCATGCCCGGCTAGTTTTTTCTATATATATTAGTTGGCCAATTAATTTCTTTCTATTTATAGTAGAGACGGGGTCTCACTCTTGCTCAGGCTGGTTTTGAACTCCTGACCTCGAGCAATCCACCCGCCTCGGCCTCCCAGAGTGCTAGGATTACAGGCATGAGCCACCACGCCCGGCCCCTCCAGTGGTTTTAATAAGTACTCTAAAACTAAATAAAGAAATCTTTAAGAAAACTTTAAATGGAAAGAAACAGTAATACTAATTTTGAAAAGACTGTTGATGTCACTGTGGTTTATTGGGTAAATACAAAGTATAGGCTTTTGCATTTTTTTTAAAGCAAAACAAAAGATTAGAAACCAAGAACACATATCATCTTTAGAAGAGAAACATAAATTAGTTTTAACTAACAATTAGGCACTTAAAAATGTAAATGTAAGACAACACTTTAGAAGTATAAACTATATTTACACTCCTAAATTCCTCCTGAAATGTTTTTATAAACACAAAAGCACAAACATGGAAAACACATTTCTGAACAAAGATAATTTCCTTTTTACTAAAAACCCAAAGAGTCTGAATTCAAATTCAATATGGCAGACCAATGATTAAGGTACTGGCAGGTAGGAGAAAAGAGTTTCTGACATTTACATATTTGATTAAAATGTAAGCATTTAATAAAACTATTACAATAGCATACAGTAGATATCATAATGAAAAATATACGTCAGGAAAATAATGAACTCTAGACTTAAAATTTTACTTTACAGCAAGGCACTTAACACATTGCAACAGTACAGTAAATTTCCAAAAGAATACAATTGGCTACCTCTCAAAACCTTGTTTTGTGAAGCTTTTTCTTTTGTGAATATACTGTAACATAACCAGACATTTTGCAGCATTAATCATTGCATAGGAGGTAAATTAAATAATGAATTCCAACTTGGCAACTAGATTAGCTTATATTCATAGTTTCTTCTTTTTCTTTTATAGGTCAGTTTTAAATAATTCCACAATAAAGCATTCTTCTCATTCATGATTTACGTAGAATACAGCATAGTTAGAGTAATGAGTAATAAAATAAATCAGAACTTATAATGTGTGCATCTGTAGAAAAACTTATCTTTGGGTACCTTTGACATGATTTTCAGTATTTGGGTATTGAAGTCAACAGCACTTCTTAATAAAAGAAATATTTTTAGCAACTTAGTCAAAGGAATTAAATTATTGCAACATAAGGACATTAAAAAAATACCAAGGATCTTTATATATACAAATAGAAAAGCCTTTGGCATATAACTTATAATATGCTTGATTTAAACATGTAAACTCATTTATTAAGAAATTCCTTCTCATACTTTCTTACACTACAAATTGAGTGTGTTAAGACTGGCTTACATTTTTAATCAGTTTTACAGTGCAAAACAAAAAGAACAACAACAAAGAGAATTAAGAAAAATGTTCAAAATATTCAAGGAACAAGATGTGAACTTTCAATTAAAAGAAACTGCATGAGTTGTAGCATGTAAATAAAAAAACCCATAAAGACAGCCAACTTGGTGTTTCATAGTAAACAAAGTATAGGCAGTTATAAAGGGAGACAGTAAAGATTGTGATCGTGAGGGGTAAAGATGTCATGCAAATTTTCTTTGATCAAATGGATAAAAGATTAGAATTGTGACGCCCTAATAATCTGAACACACATTCCTTTTGGGAAAAGTTTAAAATGCTTTTAAAATAATTCCTTTCACATGATACTTCCAGATTACAGGGAAAAATAATAATCTAAAAAAATGCCTTTTAAAAACTTGAAAATACATTTTAAAAAGTGTTTACGTTCAAAGTCATACAGCACGTTACCACAAGGGGGCACTAGTAACACGGCAATGAACCCTAATGCGCCGTTATCCACAAACCTCTCCAGACAGCCTGCCTTCCACAGCAAAACTTGTTTCCCAAGATGTCAGTAATTAAATAGCAAATTCACAATTAGTTCAGGTGCAACAAGGGAAGAGTGCTTTATTTTCAGATCTAGTGGAGAAGCTCAAAAAGTAGAATCTGAGAGAACTTCATTTCCATTTGAGAGCATTTAGGAAAAAATGTACCATCACATATAGCACTTATATTTTATAGATATTTCACAAACTAAATTATAAGAAAAACTTCAAAGAGGAGCACAGATTTACAAAAACAAGGGTAATGAGTAAGATCTATATCTTAATTGGCAAAGAAAAGGTGCTCCAAGAATTTACTGTTTTAAAGGCAAGATGAAAATTGTTTTATATCCCAAGTGGCATGTTGGGTTAAACCTCAAGTTTGCTTTCCTACATGTAAATGAGTTTCGCTATTGCTTTTACTTTTCTCACCTTGACATTTTGGTCTCCCTCTCCTCATTTTCAAGCCATGCGCCTGCCCAACATCCATTAGAGAGCTGCGGCACGTACGTGCCAGGACCATGGGGCCAGCAGCGGCCACGCGCTGGTGGCTCTAAAGTTCTTTAAAAGGTGATGGTATTATTTTCTAAAAACTGGTTTACTTGACTCAAATGCAAAGCTTACTGTTTCAAGGTGTCCAATAATCAATACACAATGATATTTTTAAAGCTTAAACACTTTTCTTCATTCAATCGAAGAAAAGTAGGTTATCCAAGACACAGCTGAATAAGGCTCTAAGGCAGGGTCCTCAAGCTTTTTAAACAGGGGGCCAGTTCACTGTCCCTCAGACCGTTGGAGGGCTGGACTATAGTTTAAAAAACTATGAACAAATTCCTATGCACACTGCATATCTTAAGTAAAACAACAAATGGGCCAAAACACCCGCATGTGGCCTGCGGGCCGTAGTTTGAGGACGCCTGCTCTAAGGTACATCGAATGGTTTTATTTGAATTAGAGGCTCCAGGAAAACACCATTATTGGGAGAGCAAACCCAGCCTTCTATGTCAGACGATGTTCCTTATAATCAGAAAGGAGGAACTTAAAATAAGTGTTTTATAAAAGCAGAACACCTTGTTCTAGCACACAAGTGTTGCTATTTAGTAAATGAACAGAAGTGAAAATTATATGGAATTATGTCTAAACTCATCAAGTAAACGAGATAGGTTTATTTAGTAAGAAATACTGGAAAAATCCTTGTGTTTCAAAGCCTGCCAAAGATATCTGTGGTTTCAATTCTTGTTCAAAAAAATCAGATTAGAGAGTCTTGTTTCTTGTCTTTGAATACAACTACCTTTCCTTCGGTGGTTATTCTATGACATAAAGAGCCATTCTGAAAACATACACAGAATTTTAGCACCAAAGGATGATGACTCTTCTGAACAGATTTGCATTGTGCTTTTCTCAAGCAATTTAAAGGTCAATTTTGTATAATCAAAGCTGAATGGTTTATAACAATAAATTTAGGGATGTTTGCCATTCTAAGTGAAGGAAAAATTTCTCATTCAGTATAAACCTAATAGCCTCTTCTACCCCTGTTGGCAGGTCCACACTCTGCCCTAGTGTTGATGATTGTGTATGTAACCTTAAAACTGTTTCTAAGGTTACTATGATAGAAGTCTTGCAAATTAAGTTTCAAGTAGTTAAGAAATTAAGCCAAGTATTATCCAAAAGATTCAACAGCATTAAATAATGCACTTAATCCAATAGCATTAAATCTTATCAGATTTTTTTTTAAGTCCACCTTTTATGCATCACCTCAAAGAAATTTAGGAACAATCACCCCCTTTGACTGTGTGGTGGTAACTAACGCACTGATTGCAACAGTGTATTATAGCCAAGCACCATGTTATAATTTTCCCAGGGTAAAGTAAAATTATTCAACTGTGGTATATGTCCTTAGGACTAGTTTATAAGAAACTGAGTTTCTTGCTTAAAGGCAAGAATACATTAAACTTTTGGGCTCCCATCTTGGTTTTTCCATAAAGCACAATATAACCAGGAAGAAATCATCTTCAACGAAATGTGACCAAATGCATTTCTGAGTTCCAGTGAGGGGCCCTAACACAGATCTCACCCCAGAGCCTGACCTGGAAGGGAAACAGGCTTGTTCCCCAGTAGCGTGAGCGCCAGTTGACACACGTTTGCATCCTGTGCTACACACTGTTGGCTGCCCTGTGGGTACCAGATCCAAAGTTAGCAGGCAGACAGCATCACTTATTAGCAGAAATATCCTCATGTTTCCTGTATATCCGTCATAGAGATTTTAAAGCAAAATATTTTACACATATGTAAAATCCATGAGGTATGTCAAATACTTTCCTATTTATTGGATCACCTTTGTTTTCTAAAATAAAATGACCAGTTAAAACCAAACAAAGTAACAGTGACACCGTGCACTGGGTGGCGGCAGCAGGACACATCCCAGGCCTGGCCCCAGCCTCCCCGAGCGGCTAGAAACAAGGCTCACCCCAAGTTGACTCACGACCCCTGCGTCTCCCCCTCGCCGAGCCTAATTAGGTCATTCTCAACACTACGTTACTCCATCTACACGGCGGCTGTATAGATCCAGATATTTTATTTAAAACATTAACAAATTCTTCTGACTTCGGGAGGAAAAAAAATCCTGAAAACATTCTGAAGTAGAGGGTCTGTGGAGAAAGAAGAAAGAAGGGAGTGGCAGGTCCTTCGGCTCCTCTGACAAGCTCATCGGTCAGGCCCCAGCTGGAAGGCTCGTCACCCGTGAAGGGGCAGCGTTGGAGGATATATCTTTGTCGGGAGGAATAAGAAAAGCCAGTCAAAGGGTAATACTTTGTTCGTCTTTCTAATCATTTGCACAAAATTTGGTCCACTTCTTCATTTGCCAGTCAGTTCTCCTAAAATTAAAGGAACAAAACAATACCTTTGGTTACAGCGTTCACTCTTTTGGTATAAGAGTTGATGCCTTTGTTCTGCTTCTCAAGTAGATTTCTCGTTATCTTCACCGATCTTCTGAACCCGTGAATACTTTTTGCACGACGATTTGAAGCAGCCAGGAGGCCAAGACAGGGGCCAGGAGAAGCAGCAAGGAATTGAGCCTTGTACATTTTTCTCAAAAAAGTAAAAGATGGGGAACCACCACGCTCGAGACAAGAAATTAGTCTGTGAAGACACCTTCAAGTTCTGCAAATGATAGGAAAAAAATAAAATGAGATACAGCTTTCTTCATTTGCACCCGAATTAAGTTGTCATTCGCTGTCACTTAACAGGGTGAACAGAACTCTGATCCGGGCTGTAGTCGCTCTCATGCCCTTCCCGGATGCTGCAGGATGGCCCGCCACACCCGGCTGCTTTCCCTTTCTGCGGCTCATGCAATTCTTGCTGCCTGCAATTCCAGGAAGAACAGGGACTCGGGGAAGGGCTGTGAGGATGATTCAGGAGGGATCACTTCAGCATGTGTGAGGGGCAGATCTAGGGGCCAAGGAAGTCAGAATAGTGAAAGGAGAGCTCGGAAGCTTGAACATTTTTAAGAGGGAAGATACAAATTTTGGTTCAGTAGTGCCAGCAGACATCTAGATGGAAATGTAAGAAGGAAGATGGGAATAGGAGATTACAAAGTAGGAAACAGAGCTACAAAGAGAAATAAAAGTTGCCTAAAGAAAGGGCATTTATTAGGGGGCACCAAGAGTTGGATGCAGATCCTTTGGCAATGAGATATTTTAATCACTCACAAATTCTCTAAACACTATATGCCCTGGAAAATGTGGCAAGTTTATTCAAAGATAAGTCAGTCATGGTACAGGGATTAACTCTATTACACCAAAGACACATACCAAGGCCAGGAAAGCAGAGAAAGGGAGGAATATTTCTACCTGAGGAAAAGAACAGGAGTTAGGGAAGGCTTCCCAGAAGAGGTGGCATTGAACTAGCTCTTTACAAATGAATGGGAGGGCTGAGCATGGTGGCTCACACTTGTAATCCTACCACTCTGGGAGGCCAAGGCAGGTGGATTATTTGAGCTCAGGAGTTCAAGACCAGCCTGAGCAAGAGCGAGACCCCAATCTCTACTAAAAATAGAAAGAAATTAGCTGGACAACTAAAAATATATAGAAAAAATTAGCCGGGCATGGTGGCGCATGCCTGTAGTCCCAGCTACTCAGGAGGCTGAGGCAGGAGGATCGCTTGAGCCCAGGAGTTGGAGGTTGCTGTGAGCGAGGCTGACGCCACGGCACTCACTCTAGCTTGGGTAACAGAGAGAGACTCTGTCTCAAAAAAAAAAAAAAAAAAAAAA